CACACGCACACGCACACGCCACCACGCACACGCACACACCCACACACACACCCACACACACACACACACGCACACACACACACACGCCGCACGCACGCACGGACACTCACACGCGCGCGCGCGCATGCGCCATCGGGGTCGGGCTTCTCGGGCTCGGGCTCGGGCTCGGGCTCGCCCGGGCACGCGCGGGCGGGCCAGGGTACGCGCGCGCAAATGCACGCTCGCGCCCGCACTTGCCCCTGTCTCGGAAAGCGTTCGGGCTCGGGCTTGGCTCGCGCCCGAGCCTGCGCACGCAGGCGCACGCGCAGACATTCGATCACGCACAAACGCCCGAACATGCACGCGCACACGCGCACGCCCGCACGGACACTCACACGCGCGCGCATTCGCAGGCGCTCGCGCTCAGGATCGGGCTGCTCGGGCTCGGGGTCAAGGTCGGGGTCGGGCTCGCCCGGGCACGCGCCCGCACGGGAATTGCCCCCGTCTGGGAGCGAGGCGTGACTACAATGCTAGGGCTTCCACCCCCAGGCCCCGTCGCTTTCCCCCTCTCCCCAACCTTTCAAAATAGGTTCCAGCGCCCATGTTTACGAGGAGCTATGGCTCCAGCAACTTCTGCCGATCAGAAGGGTGGGCTCCAGCACCTACTCTTTACGAGGGGCAGTGGTTTCAGCAGCCCACGGGATGGGTTCCAACATCAAATTCTGACAAGCAAAGTTGCTCCAACAGATTACGCCGACAAGAAGGGCGGCCTGTTGTTTGAAACGGGAAGCTACAGTGACCCGCACCCAAGCTACGAACCCACCCTCAGCCTGTCAAAAACTTCACTCGACAAATGTTTCACCTAATTGACCAGTGAGGTGAATAGTGTGGGGAGTGGGTTGTTCTGATCGCAGGTTGAAATATCGGGAGCGCACACGCACAGGCGCACACGCGCGCACGCGCGCTCACACGCGCGCGCAGCTCGCGCTCGAGGTCGGGCTCGCGCTCGGGATTGGGCTCGCGCCCGAGTCTGCGCACGCGCGCGCACACACACGCACAGGCGCACGAACACGTACAGGCGCACGATCACGCACGCGCACACGCGCACGCACGAACGGACACACCCATGCGCGCGCACGCGCACGCGCACGCGCTCAGGATCGGGATCGGGCTGCTCGGGCTCGGGCTCGGGCTCGCCTGGGCACGCGCGCGCAGGGGCACGCGCGCGCACGCGAATTGCTCCCCTATCGGAGCGAGGCGTGACTACGGACTGGTGCTCGGGCTCAGGCTTGGCTCGCGCCCGGGCCTGCGCACGCACGTGTACTCGCACGCACACGCACAAGCGCACGCACACGAGCACGACCACGCACATGCGCACGAGCAAGCAGAGGTACATGCGCACGCGCGCACAGGCGCACGCACACGCGGCGCGTGCACGTGCACGCGCACGCGCACGCGCACGCGCACGCGCACGCGCTCAAGATTGGGGTCGGAGACCGGTGTGGGAGGGCAATTTTTCTGTGTTTTTTCAGGGGGTTCCCGGAAGCGATCTGGCAAACCCCTTCAAATCGCAATTCGGGCCAACCCCCCGCGGGAACTCCCCAACTCGGTGGTTTTACTGGGGTTTTCGAAAGTATTTCAGAAAATCTCCCGGGACCCCCAAGGGGGAGAAAAGAACAAACGGCCGCTGTTTTTGCTGGTGTTTCTGATGTTTGTCGGCGGTTTTTCTGGGAAGGTAAACCCCTGAAAACAAAAATCCAACTGGGTTCGGATGTTGTTCAAGGGTTCTGGGCCCCACACTTGCAAACAAAATAATTTCTGAAAACCCCCAGGGCACCCCGGGGGCCCATACTTAAGACCAACTCGAATGTTTTTCTGAGGGTTCTCGCCCCCACAACTAAAAACAATACTATTTCTGAAGACGCTCCCGGGCAACCCCCCAACAAAAACTCTCAACACGACGCTTTTGTTTCTAAAATTTGTGCTGGAATTTCATAGGGGGGAGGGGGGGAAAGGCGAAACATCTCCCACCTCTGAGGCTTTTCGAAAATTTTCCCAGGAAGGGGAACCTCCGGAAAGCTCCCCAACTCTGAAGTTCGTCTTGTGTTTTTCAAAGGTTCTGGGCACCCATAACCAAAAACATTAATATGCTTAAAATCCCTCCAGAAAACAAAAGACAAACCTCAAACTCTGGAGTGTTTCGGGTGTTTTGTCGGGGTCTCGGGGACCCCACAATTAAAAACAATATTATTTCTGAAGACCCCCAGGACTACCCTCGAAACACTCCCAACTCGATGGATGTTCTGGAGTTCTAGGGCCCCACAAATAACACAACTATTTCTGATAAAAAGCCGGGACGCCCCCGAACCTCCCAACTCGGATGTTTGCCGGTGTTTTTTTTCAAGGGTTCTGGGACCCACCAATTAAAAACCAAACTATTTCTGACACCCTCCCGGACA